TTCTAGCAGAGGACCTGGGGACTGATTTCAGAACTACTTCTATGTGGACATTCAGTTTTTCTCTCAGCTTCTGTCTTATATCTCTTTACTCAAGGTAGCATGTATAAATACACACAAAATTATGTTTGTACATAGGAATATGCACTTTTTTATATATAAAACCAAAAAAGCAAACTCTGCTGTCGAGTCAAATCTGATTCATAGCGACTTCTCCTTGGGATTCTGAGGCAGTATCTCTATGGAAGTAGACTGCCCCATCTTCCTTCTGAGGAGTGGCTGGTGGGTTTGGACTGTCAGCCTTCTGGTTAGATGTCAAATGTCTTTGATTTAATAATTCTGTTTTTCTTCATAAAGTTGCAAATTAAAAACATTCTAAGAGTTCCAATGCAATCTGTGTATAGATTCTACCATGTTAATAGAGTGACTACACATACTCAGGCCAGAATTTAAGTATTCTTAACATGGCTGCTTGGGATCATGATTCATTTGAAACAACGAATTCAGATATGCCAGCTTTAGGGACTTAGTTGTAGTGTGGACATGGAAGTCTCTCAACATTCAGTTCCATGATTTTTGACTTGAGGGGCAACTGCGAACACTAAATTGTAATGAAATTTCAAATATGAAATTTGTAATTAATTTTAAATTGTTTATTTTCAGATTTAGTACTAAAGAACTTACCCAGATAGATAGATTCAAAGGATGTGCTTATTTTCAAAAAGGAAATATTTATGCTTCCCGCTGCAGTGGTGAAATTTCTTGGATTTGCGAGAAGACAGCTGCATTAGTAAAGATTGAAGATTTGAATTAATTTATTGCTTCCAAATTTACCATGAAACAATGGACTTGTGATTAAGACCATGTGAGGAAGGAGGGAGCTACAGTACTAGGGCTGAAAACAGACTAACAAGTGACTTTGTATTTAAACTATTAGACAAGTGAACTCGCTTCAGAGAACGTTCTCCACTTCCTTGGCTGATGTCCTTCAATCTGATACTCTTACTATTCACTCTTAAAATTATCCCTGAGGCCTGTGGACTAGCTGTTTCATGGTCTACTATTCTGTATCAGAATAATATCACTGAATTGCTTCTTTCTCATATAAAATACAATTTTCTCATGTGTCATTGCATATACACATGTGGGAAGGGTAATATTAAAATATTTAAAATCCAGAACTGACACAGGCCACAGCACTGGAGTATGGTCCAGGAGAACCTTGCTGTATGTATGTATGGGAAATGCGGAGGTTTTAGGGATCCCGGGGTAAGGATTCTGTATGTGGGCTGGGATGCAGCTCTGTAACAACTGATTGGAAATATTTTAGTATCTTAGCACATGTTTTGGCTGTGCTGTTACATACCAACTAAGTATTAGCCCACACATGCAAACTAA